CACCCCCAGTGCCAACGAGCTCCTCGCTCTCCACAAGCACCTTGTCCAACGTGCTGATGCCCAGTCCCATGACCCTCTGGACCGCTTCAACGTCGAGCCCAGCTGTGAAGACGACTGCCCCGACTGCATCCAGGAGCGCGAGAGCAAGGACAATGGCTTCGCTACAGGAATGGGAAGCTCCGAGGAGTACAAGCCCAAGGAGCGCGTTGACTGGGTCCGCATTTCTGAGAGCATGGCCAAGCCCCGCTGGGTCTTTGATGGCCGTGGTGTCATCGACTCTCGCGAGATGGTCAAGCTTGGCGTTCGCGTCGAGAGTGTTGGTCGCCAGCACCGCTTCTAGATGTCTCACCTGGTTTTGAGACAGACACAATTTTTTCGACGGCCGACTTTTAGATTTCTTGATTGTATGAATTCGTCGACTGTTGGCTAAGATTATACCGTTTTTAATAAGCATGAAATGACATATGGACGTGGTTGATGATACACGCCGAGATACACTGGAAGGACATGGCGGATGCACGGCGTGAACAGGTGAAGATGTTTACTGGACATAGATTTAGATTCGAAGATGTTAAAAATGCGATGCGAGAGCAATGTTTCCGTTACCTGCTGTTTATACTCTATAGTACCTGGGTTTATTTATGGCCCTCTGACCCATAGTAGTAGCCGTTTGAACTTTGGCGATGAACAGATCAGACTACCTTACCCCATGTCTATCAATTAAGCTTAAGATGGGGAGGCCAGGTAGACCAGGTACTAACTAAAAATATTTCAGAGCGGTTCGGCTATCACGATCCCTATCTATCATGGTGTTCGCGTCAGTCAAATTGTTTCATGACTAATCCACCATGATCCTGTCCTGAGACGAAGCTTCAACCACCGTGTTTCAGCCGATTGACCAGGCTAGCAGGCGTCTCAGCTCTGAACCTCTAGTGTAACAAGCTATCGCCGGAATACTACTTGTTTCCCAAGCCCAGCCGTCATGTTCCCTGTAACAACGTTCTCGATCTCGCTCCACGTAGCATCGTGCCCTGCACTTGATACAGACTACTACTCTCCTTTGGGCACGCGTTTCACCATGCATCGAGGAGTACCGTCGCCGTGGTTCGCCTCCTCGTGCGTGCTTCTCGTCTCGAGACATTTGTCGTCTTTGTCTTCCTGTTGAACGGGTGACATCTTGGTCTCGCTACCATACGCTCTTTAACCATATTGGTATCACTTTCGTGTTATCCCGGGGCTGTGCCTCTATATTCTTTCGCTTATTATTCAATTGCTGGCTGCAGGCGGCTCATCCTGTCTTGTCTTCGAGGCCTAAACGTACGGGCCACCATCGTCGACTTGGGATCCAATACAGTCGAGGCAGCTATTCGTCGAGATGAGATTGTCATGGGCCAGACAGGCCGCAATTACAGGCCTCGTCGCCGTCGCCATGGCAGACGTCTTGCCGCCGGACGACATTCCACTCATGTGCGTGACGATCTGTGGTCCAATCGTCGAGTTGACAGCAAAATGTGATGTTCACAACCATCGCCTCGCGAAGCGACAGCCAAACCCCGAGTGGGTTCCGAAGTTGGCCGTGGAACCGGTCGAGGACGATGGACTGCACAAGAGAAGCTTCTCTATCATCAGGGCTGCGCCGACGTCATTTCCTCCACAGTTCGAGCCTCAAGAGAGCACGACGTCGTCAACTTCAACTTCAACCTCAAGGTCAACGCCAACATCGACTGCCAAGTCTACGCCGGCGTCAATGAAATGGGTTGCGGACGACACCAGTGCGGAGGAGCAGACAATGACAATGAGGCGTTCCGTGATAAGTTCATCGTTTGTGAGCTCGGAAGTAAATCAACCTACCAAGACTCTCCAGGGTGATTCTGGTACAGCGAGCATGACGAGTTGGGGAGCTAGTTTGCAGACCCAATCAGTAGTTCCAGAGGATGATCCGGAGAGGGAATGTGTATGCAACAACACTAGCTTTGATGTGGCCAAGATCGCAGCGCTATGTCAAGACTGCATCGTCGTTGATGGACACAAGCAAAACAGTGAGTCTCTACGCCCAAACTCATTAATCAGCTGCTAACGAAATAGACCTGGATATTATCATGCGGTCATGCGGGTTCAAGCCACTTACTTACACTCCTGACCAGGACAAAGCGGCGGATAACGTCCGGGTCGAGGCGACGCGGCCGACTGCCATGGGTGCGAAGCAAGACTCGACGAATGCAGGTGCTGGATTAGAGTCTGGTGGTAATTGGGTTATTATTTTCACTTTGTTGATAGGAATCGCCTTGGCGGTATGAGTTGCGTTCGATTTCAACACTTTAGATATGTAGATCATAGCGCTTGCGACAAGCTTTCCTTTCTCACTTATTATATCCAATTTTAGATAAAACGCTCGTTGAACGAAGATATCCTTGTCTATTACTATCGTCTACTGTTTTGCGCGAGGTCCGAACTGTTATGTTCCTTCAGTGATGACATGTGATGATTATATATGATAGAGAATGCTGTGATGAAGCAGAAGGAAACAAAAGTGTACAATTAAATATTCTATGTCTATGATGGCTTCTTCTATATGCAACCAAATGCCCAATATTAACAGTTCATATAATAAACATTAGGTACGTAGCACAAAACATCGCCAGAATCATGAGCCGCCGGAGCCCACTATGCATACACCCTGTTCAAACCACCATGGCAGCCATAGCCGATGCAACGAGTAGACCCTACCACAACATCAGTACAACTTGAAATAACACAATGGAGTAATATCTTACCATTCCCCATGTACCAGGCCACAAGGAAGAGGCAGCACTATCAGTGTCCTCGATTCGAGCGACCAACTTATCTCCAACACCACCGAGACTCGCTTCGAAGTCTTTAAAGTTTTTGGCATCCCAGTCGGCACCGTCTTCTCCTGGAACAGCGTCGCTACCAGGGAAGGCGATATACAAAACATCATCTTCATCGTGACCATTGTCGCCGTTCATATCATCGCCGAAGCAAGCTGTTGCAAGAGAGATGGAGGCCTCTCCGACCATTGCTTCATCGCCATCATCGCCATTCTCGTCGCCCCAGATGCCGTAAAACTAACAAAGTCAACAATAATTCCGCGGTCCAGAGCAGGTAATGTTTTACCATTTTGTCGCCGCATACAACAGCCATCACACTCAATGGCTTGATGCCGTGTTTTTGCGCATCAAAAGTTGGCCAGTTCTTCTTGGTACCCACGTTTCCGAACACCACGTAAGGATGAATATTGGCATCGAGGTCCTTCTGATCCGTGCCATACGACTTGAGCTGGTCTTGAAAAGACGTGACGGATTGTGTGTCGCCTGATGAGCCGCAGCGTCCGTCATCTGCAGAGCTGCCCTGGACTCCATCACAGTCGATATCCATATTGACGAGCTTGCCTTTGGTGCCCTGGAGATATATTACATTGTAGTCTTTGAGATGGTCGCCGCAGTAGACGTATGCTGCTACTGATTAGTCGCGGTTGCAAGGCGGATCTTGAAAGGCTTACAGCCATCGTCGCCGTCGGCGCTGTGGAAGCCCTCTGCGAGAGTATCATTGCAAGAGCCCTGTTTTATGATGCTCTCTTTGAAAGCCTTGATGTTATCGGGGACATCGCGACAGGAAACCAGAGTGGCGATCGATGCGAAAAGGAGAAATCGAAGGGAACCCATGTCGATGAATCTGCGACCGAGATGAAGTAGCGAGCGTGGGGAAAAGGCCGATCAGATCAATCGCGATAGTTGTTGATCTTTATCTTTAGGTATGTTTGAATGTCTAGTCTGAATGTTCCCCTATAACTAAGCCTCGGGGCGAGAGTGGTTTTATTCAAACAGCCCATTTTTTGCTTGCATGCAGTGATCCTCGTCCAATTTACTCGGAACCAAAAGTTCTCCCTACAGAGTTGCAAGGTGACGGCTTAGGCTCCCTCCTAGGGGTATCATGGTGCATTATTCCCCGCCAAGACGGGTCGATCTGGTCTAGAACGGAATAATTTACTAGCATTAAGCATATTTATAACCTTTGGGCCATCGGCTGTTGTTTCTTTGCTTCTACGGAGCGAGATCTTGCAGATTGGGAAATTAGTCCGCCTATTTAAGATCCAGATTGGTAAGGTGCTCGTTTATTGTATCACTGCACTGCATTGTAACGAGCCCAGTAATGATTGACGCGAGGGACAGATTAGGCAAATGCGACCAGAGATGTGATTTGCTGGGATTACTCTTCATATGAGACAGGGTTACCCTATGTTTTCTCACCTGAACCAACACATTCAGGTATACAACAGAAACCCACAATCAAACGAGTCAGGCCATCAATTGATCTACTTTGCTCTGGCGTTTCCGTGATCTCAATATTTGTAGGTGTTGATTAGTCGATTGCCGTTTATCATTCCGGGGCTTAATCACGAATAGGCGGGCAATCATTCCTACATCTAAGAGTACCTAATCATGGATCAAACCGAAACATCATTGAGACGCAATCGACAGACATGACCTTCCAAGACCGATGCTCTTGCATTCAGTTGTGTTCTACAGCCATTTCTTTTTCTCTTTAATCTACGATCGTTCTATCGTCCGACCTTGATATCTTATTATTGGCCCGAACACTATTTCGTCCGAGAGGACAACTCACTGAACCATGCTCAGCGGTCTCTAAAGCAATTAAGCAGACAACCTGGTCAATTATGAAAATTAAGGTCGAGCACATCGTTATCTCTTAATCTCATATACATGGACCCTTTCAATCAATGACAATTACACTTCCAAGAATTGGTAAGAAATGCATCAATTCGTCCGTCTCGGCCTCCGCACGGCCGAACAAAATAGCTGTAAGGCTAACACAGACGATCGTTGTTAACCAAGCTTCGTCCGTAAATTCGTCCGTACCTCGACCGGAGGCCATAGATATATAAGAAAGCAGTGAGGATAGTTCTATAGCAAAATATAGACCATCAGTGTTTCTATTCATTCAATTCACCAATAATTACAATGTCTGCTCAGCTACAGCATAATGCCGCCTGGGAGGCTAGCCCTCTTGCATTCCTGTCCCGCCAATTCATCGAAGGAGTTCCCAAAATCCCCAAAGGCGTCACTCTATCCGGGAAAACAGCTCTCATCACGGGCTCAAACGTTGGATTGGGTTTTGAATGTGCTCGTCAACTTCTTGCTCTTGATCTTTCACACCTGATCATTGCCGTACGGAACCAAACGAGAGGTGATAATGCAGCACAGAAACTAAGAAACGAGTTCCCAGAAGCAAAGATTGAAGTTTCATTAGTTGACATGGCTTCGTACAAGTCAATCCAAAACTTCGTCAAGTGGTGCGAGACCTTGCCTCGACTCGATATTGCCATCCTGAACGCTGGATTGAGCAGACCTCAATTTGAGCGATCGGACGAGTCCAAGCATGAAATGACATGTCAAATCAACTACCTCTCCACTGCCCTCCTCGCCATACTTCTTTTACCCGCCCTAAAGAAGAAGCGTGGGACTTCTGAGCCTGCACATCTCGCTCTCGTTGGCTCTGACATGTCATACTGGGCTCATTGGACTGGAACAAGTGATTCCATCTGGGATACAGTCGACGACCCTTCCAGTTGGTCCAGCAATGGTGCTTACCAGATATCCAAGCTTCTTCTCATCATGTTTGTCGGAAAACTCTCCGAGTACGTCTCGCCCGACGAAGTCATTGTCAACTTCCCCAATCCCGGCGCGTGCAGGGGAACAGAATTTGGAACAGATGGCAAGAGGAGCAAGATTGAGCAGTTTTGGATGAGCATTGCCAAACCTATTGTTGGAAGGACAGTCTCTACTGGCGCAAGATCTTATGTTGATGCTGTTGCCGTGAAGGGCAAAGATAGCCACGGTAGCTTTGTTGGCGAGGGCAAGATTAAGCCGTGAGTATTTAGGAGCCGACAGCGACGAAAATTTACTAATTAAATTTGACAGATACCCCCAGATTATGTACGAGCCGGTGGGAAAGGCACTTCAGGAGACGGCTTGGAATGATTTAATGAAAGAATTGGGTTTTGCGAAGCCTCTGGAGACACTCAAAGGCGGCAATTGAGCCGATGTTTACGGACTAGGACCAGGTCCAAGCATGACTATGTATTAAGAAGAGCCAGAGATACTGAAACATAGGTAGAGATTGTAGCTAATGAAAACCGCAATAATGAGTCTCATCATTCGCGCTTTGTTTCATCTTCGTTGGCACAATCGATCCCATTGCTCTTTGCTTCCAGTCGCTCAACGTCTTCAATAATCGTCGTATCGTCGTAGAACCGAACCTTTTTCACCACCTGCTTCACCAACAAAGGATCATCCCCAAGTGCTACCTCTTTGAAGTTGCCTTGGTCATGTCGTCCGGGTACTTCCATTCCCAAGTATGCTCGCCATCGACCGCTGTTGATGAAATCACAGAAAATCCTGAGCTGGAGATCAGTCCAACGAAGGATCGTCAACAGGAAAAAGAGAGAGAAAAGGATGTAAAAGACAATCATGCCCCAGGGTATCAATTCATCCTGCTGAAGTTCTGCTTCGGTATTCGACATTGTGCTGCTATATTGGTCAGAAGCAGTATTGAATATGTTGCTGAGAGAACCACGCACTTGTTTGAAGGGATATTTTCAGAATTGTAGGCGCCAGGGGGCATTTGGTAGTTTCGAGGACGCATTTTGCTTATAAAGCCAGTTAGGTTGGATAGTTTGATCATAATGAAGGAAAAGTGTTGTATGATCCGCGCCGAGCCACGACCAGCCTCTCGTTTATACTTGTGAAAGGAGACAAGAAGGATAAAGGGTTTTATAGTCGTCATACCTGTACGCAAAGTTTCTTTCTTGGACACGACCAACCAACCCCTTTTCGATAAAGTTCCTCCTCGACTTGTATGTTCCCTTACAAGTCACTCTCCCAAACTCTCCTATTGAATTGTGTAATGCACCCCTCATGCCATAAATCTTAACGCCACGTTACCGTCTTTCGGTGATACGCGCCTCCATTGGGGATGTGGTGGTTGTTATTATTGCTGCTGCTGTGGCGGGCTATGCTGCCGATGCTCTGTTCCTATGGGACCCGATCGCAGAATAGTTTGGAACCCGATGATTTCTCGGCACTTGTCTTTGCTCACCATTCAAGCAGTTACAGTTCTCAGCGTCATATGATGCTTCATTGGCCGCACATACGGTATTGTAAATATCGTCCAGTAGCTGCTCGTCCCTTTGTCGTTGGAGGAAGATGAAGACAACACCTAGAATGAGACCAAGTATACACACGGTCGTGCTGAAGGCCAGGATGCACACAGTGAAAAGTCCGTTGCTGTAATCCATTTTGGGCATCATAGACAAGATATTTGTGGTGTTGCGATGTCTCGTAGGCAGAAAATGAGGAATGTGGTTTGAAGCGAATTGGTGAGTTGGAGCAGGTAGTTCTCGAGAGGAACTTGTGATTTGAAGTTGGTTTGAAGAAGAGTAACAATCTTACGAGCACAGTTGACTTGTATTTAGCTTGGGTGTAAATTCGGCGTGCACTTATATAAAGTTCCTGAGTGCTGTGGTGGCAAGTTTTACTTTTAAGATAACCTCACGTGGCAGAAATACTGAAAGATTGCGATGAGACCACACTGAGTTACAGGCTTACAGGTGAAAGAGAGAGTTTATTTATGAAGAGCGAGTGAACTCTATAACATGGCAGTCTCTGATTTCTCTGCAAAAGAGGCTTGGTGATCTAGGTCTGGGCATCCAATGCTCGATGTAAAATAGACCACAAAAGATATCGTAGACTGTAAACAAGAGACCCCAGAGGCAGAAACGCGTCGTTGATTCCATTGGACATTATTTATTTGCACCTGGCCAGCAATTTCTGATTCGATGCGTGGGCAGAGAGGTGTCATCGTAGCCACATGGGAAGACTGCGAGTAGGTGGCTTGGCCAGCTGATGCAACAGAAAGTTCAAAACTTTTAATGGCGGTATGGCTATCTGTCCCCGTAATTCGAGATATTGTGTCTTGAATGTGTTTGGTCGGTGGGTTGCCGTTATGCAGAAGTTGGCGTGTTATCAGTCCCTTTAAACGTGGCACTAGTTATCTGTCATATGGAAGATGTAATTCACCAACTTATGAAATTGCTTCAGTTCGTTTAACAACATACTGTCGGAGACGGTATTTGTGGTTTCATTCTGCTTCAAAATAAGGTTGATCAACAGCTGGCCTTACCTGTCAGTCGCAACAGACTCTTCCTCCTTCTAGGGGGTTTATAACAGCTGACTATCAATAGACGAGGGATACGAACCCACGAACCATGCCTCTCGAGGCGTAGCTGCAAGAATACAAGCAGAGAAATAATCTCTGATGATCGGATTTGACCTGTGATGTGAGAGATTAGTGTCGAGTTCTATGCCACTCGGCGGTCCAACCAATATAACTGTTTTGGCTAAATGCGCAACGACAGCCACTGACAGATAGATAGGCTTATGCTACCCCTTCTATACGATGGGAAAACACCGATTGCAGATTCCTGCGTCTTCGTCGGCACCGGCTCCAGATTCCGCAGTCAAGTTGGTGATTGTTGCAGTCTTGTCACCAACAGCCATGGCTGGAATGTGACAAGAGCTACATTTCGTATCCGGCTATCATATTGCATTCACCGTAAGCACAATGCGTAGTTTGAATTGATGCTTATATGTTGTTATACGGTTCTCGCTCATGCTGAGAATCAGAGTTCAAGTAAGTGCTGGTCTCAGTGGCCCAACCCCGACATCTTGCATTGGCTGAAACAGTAACATCGCTGCATTCACACGATACCACTTCCAATCGCAGAAATGCACGAGTCAAGAGCCTCGATTGGTTGGACCGTACTCCATCTCTTAGAGTTTAATACCCGAAAACTATCACGAGTCGAGCAGTCTTGGCGGGAGAATTGTTGTCTTTGATGGATGTTGTCAATTACACAGATATCTTATCAATCTTCGCCGGCTTGAATGCTATATACATCATTAATATCGTGACCCGGTTAGTAGTGGTACAATGAATCGAAGGCCAAGACAACACAATACAACAACAACAACAACAACAACAACGACATGAACTTGATGTGCCAGCATCAACACAAGACAAGACAATACCCAAATGGATATCTCCATCCGAAAGGCTTGGCATATCGTTCGACGGTCCCAGATGCTCCGCCAAGTCCACAAATTCTTCCCCAGTCAAGCAAGCTCAGCTCGGCTTCACAACACGCACGCACACGCATGCTCATCGTCCCTCCTCACGGAAGAAGAATCTCACATTTTCAGCAGCGCATCGTTATCAATAATACGATCCTTGTAGCCCTCGCAGGCGACCTTGACAAAAGCCCTGGCCATCTGCGCAACCTCAACGCCGTGAGCCGAGCGACCGCCTACAAGTCTTCTCTTCTTGGGCGCGTCTGGGGTGACGATGGCGCTGGGTCTCAAGATCCAAGCGCTAAATGTTTCAGGGCTGGCGTCTGCAATCTCGCATAGACCCTTCTCCGCCTCGGACTTTGGTTTCCTTGGATCCCCGAGCGAGAGCAGTGAAGATGCCTTTGAGTTGGTCTTGTTGCTGCACAGGACAAAGTTGAACTTGTTGCCAGCTGGTGTCTTTGGTGCTATGCGCTCGCTCAATACTTTTGCCGCCGTGAGCGGTAGTTCCACGTTGACGTGGTGAAGAAGTGCCTTGTCGTGGTTGGGACGATCTGGCCGTGCTCCAATGGCCCTGTGTAAATGATCAGCCTCTCATGTTTGAGCAGAATGAAGACTGATCTTCAGAGATCAAAAGAGACAGTCTTCTTACCATAAACAGGCCGAAGATCCTTCAAGTCGCCTTAAGACTTGATCGGAATATCTTGCGAAGTCCTGAATCATGATAACATCCGCCTTTGGGTGGCTCTCGATGTCCATTGAGACGGCCTTTCGAGTGAGAATAACGACTTTTGTGATGCGCGCGTCCGCGAGACAGTGTTTGACGATCTCATTGCCGACCATCCCGGTCGCCCCTGTAACCACAACCTTCATCTGTTGAGTAGAATAACACAAAAATGACTTGAACCGATAGCGTAGTCGCCTCTAGAGGAAAAAAAAGAAGAAGAAAAGAGAGTGTTTGACGGATAAATGAGTGAATGAAGAGTGAACGAAGAATGATGGGTATTCCGTAGGTAGCCTCAGAGATGATCCTGGTCTTGCGGGCCTCTCTCGCCTTGCTATACTACTAAGGGCAAAAAATTAAAAAGGGTCGGAAACAATAAATATTATTAGACAAGCAACGAAGGGAAAAAAGGGACAGTGGCAACGGAGAATAAATATGATGAATGTCGCTAATAGAGATGACTCTTATGGATGAATGGTACCTTGTGAATTCATCTTGATCTTGCATACATGGCTTGCAGTAAAGGGAAGAAATCATATGGATTCAAATACTACCTAGGTATGATCAGCCACGCAAGAGAAAAACCACACTTGGCCTCTTGAGGAAGAGTACGGATAGCTACCTTACAGCCAAGGAGTATTGCCGGCAGCCCGATCTGACCATGGGCCCATGGATGGATCATGGATGTTCCATTTACAGTGACAGTGACAGCTTCTAGCAACTCTTGGCTCTGTTGGTTGCTACCGAGCTACAAATACAGATACCGCGCGTGTAGACCCTTGTACTGCATGTAACTCACTGCAGTAGACGGATACCTCCTGATTAACCTATTTTTCAACGACTCCAACAGAATGTTCTTCCTCAGTCCTCTCTTTAGATCGACACTTTGCCAACCAATCCTTTGAGATCCGCCGGCTTTGGCACGGAGATACGATGCAGAGCCTGTCACTGCCCAGGAAATGGCTGGTGGACGCCAAGACCCGTCTCAATTTACTCGGGCGAGTGACATAGACTATCGTGACTATTGGCTGGACTGTACTCAAAATCTGTCATTATTGTTTAATGTGGATATTTTAGTTATATTGGCTGAGTTATTCCGCCATGAGGAGCATGGCAATGAGACAGAGACTATCACCATCAGCAGCCCAATATTCACAGGCTAATACATTTTTTCTCTGATGCCATCGACAGAACTCGTTAGACCTCAAGCCCTTCCTGTGCCGATCATCCGCTTTGCCGGCCTGCTATGCCCAATACTGCAAGTACACGTTTCATTCTGTAATGAAACATGGGCACCCGCGCGTCTGGCGACGTTATCAGCGTTACTTTGTTGAGCGTGACCTGTGGAAAGGAGATGCCGACTGGTATAGGTACCTAGGTAGTCGACTGTCTGTATTACCTTCATTTCCCAGGGACATGCCTCAGGAGTAAGCAAAAGTTTGTTTCATCCCACTTCCCGTTATACGGAATGCCCATGTACTTAGCCAGCCTGCTAGGCCAGCGTGTCAATAAACAATTTAGAGACGCAAATAAGCTTCCTTTTGCAACGAAACAACGAGATGCTGCGCTTCAAGCTCCGCAAGATCGACCCGACGGTGAGTGTTTCGGATCCGAACCGGATCCGGGGCTGATTTGGAAGCTGGGGCAGCCACTGGATGACGATTGGTTCACTGAACGAACTGAACCCAGAGGCAGTAGCATCAGTTACGCGAGCGAATATACGAATATGTAAAAGTTCAATTTGGATATCATATTATATCATTAATTGATTATTTCATTAAGTTACTCAACCAACTCGGCTTCCCTCCAAGTTGTCCGCTGCACTCTTGCTTCGAGGATCAGACTCGTTGCCGTAGTGGTTCGCGTCTCCTCCCAGCGCCTCGATCTCCTTCTTGCTGTTCTCCTTGCTGGCCTGGCTGGTGTCTATCGATCACTGTTAGTAACTGGAGACGAGTCTCATGTGTAAAGACGGGTCATACTGGGGTTGGAGAGGTTCGCCTTGTGGCCCTGGATCTTGTGGGAGATCTCTTCGCCGCCCTCGCGAAGCTCCTGCATGTCATTTGAGATGACGGATCGGTCTCCAGCGGAATTCATTTTGGTGATGCTGATGCTGATGTTGATGTTGATGTTGATTGATTGGTTATAATTTGTAATAGTCTTGGTCTTTTACGTTATGTCCTGTATCGACTTGTCCTCTTTATATACCTATTTCCCTCTTTCGTACACCTACTTACTTCTCGGCATGACATGCCATGACGTTACAGCATGAATATTGTCAAGGCTCTTATGTCATGTTTGGACTGAATCAAGGACATCTCCATGTCCCGCACACTTGGCTCACCTTCCAGGTGTGGCGAGCGATGCATTCTGTGTGGCTGGATTTGTCCAGCATGAGGGGCGGGATGACATAGCTTGTTGCGATTGAAACCGGGGTGAGGCTAGAAATTAATTGGAGCTATCATCACCAAGATCTTGGCTGATGATGGTCGTGTTATTTTGGACTATACCCCTGGCTGATCCGCCATCTCGATCATTTCAACGACCATCTTGTAATCCAGATACAAAAAGCAACGGGTTATGCACTTTTGAAGCCATGAAATACATCTAGGACGCCACTTTCGACAATTATACTGGTATTAGTTGCACAAATTTCGGAGAGAAAGAATGTCGTAATCTTCCAACTTGTGACATGCACTTTCGTCACACGCAAACAAACGGGTTTTCTGTGACAGGTAGTAAAGTCATTGTCGTCTGCAACCCCCAGGTTCTGCCTGGCATATCGACGATACAGTGTATTTGGTGATTAAATGTTTGGATTGAAAAATGCTAGTAATAAGTTGATGTCCCGTATCCGTTTGTTCTATACAAACAGAAATTATGCCCAGCCCCCTTCTCCAGCTGCAAACGCCAATATAAACGAAGCGCTTGCTCTGAGTAATCGCCCAAAGGAATGTGTGACACTACGCACTGTAGTCCACAGTTGTTGTGACTGATAGTTTGATCTTGAGGACCTGACTTTAAACTAACGCACGCTATGTTTCGAAGCTATTGATATATATCTTTTGCCCCATTCTCCTTTCAACTCATCTACTGTCTGGCAAGGCTCAACTCTGTCTCTGGACCAATGCTCGAGTGACGATTGATGCGATACTCTGCACCAGTACTCATTTCCTGCGGAAGTATCGTACTACCAGCCATTTCTGAAGCGACACCCATCTGTTGTTGGTTGTGACTGTGATTGTGATTGTACTGCTGCTGGTACGGAGGAAGAAAGTTGGGGCTGTATGCGTGTTGAGCATTGTGCTCCGGAAAGTATGTGAAGGATTGCGGTCGTTCAGATTGAGAGATATTCGGAAAATACTTTTGGAACTGTTCAATAGAGGATAGACCGCTATTGTGTGGATTCATAACCGTGGGAGATGAAGTGAATGACTCTGTGTATTGTTAGTGTCAAGCCTTTTTCAGAACGAGTCTACTTACGCTGATAGCCACTCATGGGAGATTGGGCCACGAATGTGCTCGGATGGAGGGGACCACCTGGAGGTGGAAACGGATTCGCTGTCAGTGTCGGAGCAGCTGGAGGCACGCTGTAGCCTGCGTCGTGTTCTTGTTGATGCTTGTTCTTCTGTCGGGGCTTCCACCAGAAAAGCCAGGCCACGAGAACTAGGACAATCAGACCTCCGACTGACGCACCCACAGCGACACCGGCAGCAGCTCCAGCTCCCAAGCCATCGTCCTCACCTACATCAACTGCAGAGGTGCTTGAGGCTGTGGTAGAGGCTGTCTCGGACACACTCGAGATAGTAGAGCTTTGACTTTGACTAGGGTGAAGGAAGTCGAGTTTGTTATTCTCAACTTCAGATAGCTTAGCTGGCACAAGTTTTGACCTTGGACACTCTGAGCTACAAGCGTTCTGGCTGCAGCATCCAAGGAAAGGCGGGTTGGTATGGGCACACGAGTACCAGTTGTCGACACCTTGAGAGCTGTCGCAGTCTTGCCGAGGAAGTTGGGAGTATTTGTCGGAGTCGAAGGTCGTCGCACGCAAATCGCCATCAGGACAGGTTCCGTTATTTCTGCCACAGGGATCATTGACACAACATCCTATAAACTGGGTATCGTCATCTTCACAGACGTAGAAACTGCCTCCGTAAGGGCACGAGAGACCCCAATGCGTACGAGCTTCAGACATTGAATCTTGAGATCGAGTGTTCGGCCTCGACAATGATGTTGATGAAGTGCAATGTTTGTTATGGTAGCGTCCCAAGACGAACTCTGGAAGCCTCTGAAGAAGACAAAGCAGGGTAACTGAGGGCAAAGGTAGGAGTAGGGGATCAGTAAAGACCCCGACTTTCAGCCAACATGGGGCTCTCGCTTGTTGCCGTCGAGTGACAGCATAAGCTCACGTAAGTAGCCTCTTTCTACTTTCAACGCACAGCCCGTACGGGAATACACCCGAGAGATTGCGGGCAGCATGGGTATAACTGGACGGAGTCCGGACGACATCTTACGTATCCCTCTAGCTGGGACACGCCAGCTCAGCATACCGCGGCGAACCCCAAGCATTAGACCACCTTCGTGTATCAAAGCAAGCTGTCAAGACTGGTGGCGGCTTTGGCAGCGGCAAGTTCTAGAGCTTGTCCGACCAAGGGCTTGATGCTGTGAAACAGTACTAGGCTGTGATGAGATTTCACTGCAGCTATTACCAGAGGCAATGTTGGCTTAAGCTAACTCCATGTGATATTTACTTCCAGTGCCAAGTATAGGATCTTCTTGAACCGTCGGTGCCGCATTGAGAGACAAGGGTGTTCAGCTCAGTCACCAACCCATGCGCAACTTGTGTTACTAGGGCACCATACACACGTCGAACATCGTCGGCGATGAGAAAAAGCACGGCGACGCCTATTCCTGGCTTACTTTGGCCCCTGAATAGAATGGGAAAGACGGCCAAGATACTGGATCCATTGTATCAGGGCTAAGACGTGAACAACTGCGCTATGGTCTTCGTAGAACTATGAATAGCATCCTTTGATACCACCATAAGCTTAGGTATAGAGGCTCAACGATGTTTGGCGACGGCAAGCACTTTGGTCCCTTCTGTTGTCAATGAGCATGGCACCAGCATGTGGCTTCTTGGCACCGGCTTTGTTGAAAGTTATCCCGAGCCTTATATGAAAGCTTGATACCAGCTTTGCTTGCTGCTATAGCCCTTGGCCATTGACTCAGCGATTCCCTAGGGCGCGTCCGACTTTTGATACACCATCAGCTGTTGTCATATTCCCCGGCATTGCTCTTCCTGATCGCGATGAAGATCATCCGAAACTTCCCACCCCCAACTCCAAACAAGGACATGAAAGCAATATCCGTCTTGTTTGTCGTATCTCCAGCTTCGAATGCACCAGTTCCATGATGTGCAAGGTGATCACCAAAAATAGACCCCTCTTTGTTGGCGCATCCACCACATTTCACGACACAGCCTTGTTTGTCTGACTTATTGCCTTGGTTAAATGATGCCAAGGTACTGATGCCCAAACAGATAACACAGTTCACAATTTGCACCATATTCAGGAGGCGTTTTTGCGAAATTAAACTGCAAACCAACAACCCAGTTTCCCCTGCATACGCGACGCGCGAGGCTGACAGAATATGACATCTCGAATTACATCCTGTAGGATGGAAGGACACAGACTTATTGACCAGAAAGTTCGCAGGCTTTGATTATGCCCGATTCAGCTCCATTGACTTCTTTCTGGACAATGAAGTAGACAAGAATGGGTTTCCGCGACCAGTCTCAGCATTCCAAAAGCAATGTTTGTCGCAGTGGCAGGCAGTCAAGCTACCGCCCGTGAAGGATACTTGGGAAAGAAGGTGTTCCCAAAAAGAACGCTGGGTGCAAGTGTTGGGTGATCTGAGTTGGATTCTCGGCTCTTGGACAGGAATTGTATCTTCGTTGCTGTCAAAAGGGCCGATGGTATTTCGCCCGATGTTACTTCGTGTAACGAAAGTCGGCGTGTGCAAGCAAGGCAATGGACCCATCACACTTTCATCGTCATTCGCATCATTTTGGCTCATGACTGTTGAGCTTTTCGAATTACCCCTCAGTCTGGTCGTGATGGACCTGAAAACATTGCGCCAAGGACTATTCTGAACAAAGGAATGCGCCAACCGGCCCAGCACTAAATTCTTTTGTTCCTGGCTCATGAGCATTGAGGAACCGGGGGTGACAGTGGATGTCTGTGAACTGAGCTAGTGCGTTGGCTCAGACTCCGGGTTGATTGGCAAATACCTGCGGCAACTGCTCACCCTGAACCCTTTGTCCAAGTTGCGCCACAAAGGACCACGCAGCGCGGGAGAGGCTCTGGTTGATCTCGCCAGGCATTATGATCTTTAGGCGACTCTGACCGAGCACGAATCCAGCGCAGGAGATCTGAGTAACATGTACGCCGGGATGGAAAAGATCCAGTGCAAGATGGTGATGTAGATAGAGTCCCAATGCTTCAGTAAAGGGAGATGCCTCAGAACGACCCTTTGTACGCCAAGCCCAGCCGTCGTCTGTGTTACCTCCAGCAAGCCTACGGCGCTCACGGGCGTCTCCTTGCCAAGAAGCATCGATTGGGATGTGGCTCTTCTCACCAGCGCGCACAAAGCGGCGAAGGTCCTGTGCAGATATGGTGATATCAACAGATCGAAGCCCTGGGTTAGGCCTGGTTTCTTCTTGAGTTTGGGGGTTGTCGATAGCTGTTGGGTCCTCGCTGGTCTGAAACGACACATTGAATGCAAGTGTTATGGTAAAGTCAATACCTCGGTCGTTGAGCCCTTCGTTTTCGATCCAGCTTTCCCATACTCCGAGAATAGTCTTGGTTCCCATTGTTATCCGACTGACGCGACAGTCGAAAGAAGCAGCAAGCCAGTTAGCCACAACGGTCTTGAGTTGCTGAGGCATGCGCATTAACAATAATGGCAGATGTAGAAACCTGCTTGGATCATCGATTTGCCGCGTCTCTGAAGAGTCTGATAGCCCAGGTAGAAGAATCGCAGCATAAGCAGCATTCTCATGCTCTATACTTATCCAGAGCCCTTGTTTCTGGTCGTCTGGAAGGTCGCTCTGGTTGCCGCGTGGAGCTTCGAGGTCGAGATCAGGAGCGTCTTCACCCAAAAACGTACTGGCACGAAACCATTCGATTCGGACACCCTTGAGAGTACCAACTTGACCGAAAGATGTATCTGCTGCCTCCAAACTGAGTTGAATGCCACGAACCACATCGCCAACAAGGGTATCACGAAGACGGTTGGCGATAACCTGAAGCCGCTGACTGGTGAGACGTGATTTCCCAATGTGCATGGGGGAGACACGATGAGTTGAGAAAGTCGTGTTGAAGAAGGGCGGAACCGCTTCATCGTTGGTGGTTTCAGAGGTGGTATTGAGCGACTGCGCCGGGGATTGCTGAACCTCTGCAGACGCAACGCCTTGAGCACTCAGGCGCGCCATCTTTTGCGACCTTGATGTCTTTGTGCTTATGGTGTCTGTCTGGACTGATTTGATTGTTGGCTTGCTGCTATTGTTCTGGCTTGAATGTGGGGTCTTGAAGGTGTATCGCAATAGAAGGTCAGACGCGTCTTTGGGGGCGCTTTTGGTGAAAGAAATTGACAAAGAAGGAGAGGAACCGAAACATGAGATTTTTTACGTAGTTCTCCAAGTTATAAAACTCCAATGTCACTACATTTATCTCATGGCAGAGTAATCTCTGCAAGATTGGTAGATACCGTAGGATGAAAGTTGGTGCACCTGGCTCGAAAGAACGATCGCGTTAATGTGATGACTAAGCTCGAAGATGCATATGAGGGACACAAGTGAGTGAGGAATGAGCACATCTTCTTTCCTTGCGATTTAACTCACCGTTTCTCTTTCATTTCATCATCGAAGGGCGCCCTGGTCAAAAATGGGGGCAGACTCGACTTTCCATGAAACCTTCTTGATCGCCCTCACAGATAAGACATTTACCATTGATCCCCTTCCGGTCCTGGGGGTTACGCTTCATTGAGAGATGCCCTTGGATGTGCATTGGCTCTGTCTGCTCCAGAACAAGGTCTCTCCCACTTCAACGTGGATTGTGAACTTGCATTATGATCTTAGTCGTCCGAAATAGTGGTCGCATTGTTCAGCAGCCATGGATACTGAACAAAGACAACATGTTGTCAATAAGCGACTCCAATACTAACGTTGGGTAGTTGAGGTATCTCGACTTGTGCTCGTATACCTTTATAGCTCAATAAGCTCTGTCAACCAACACCGGCTCAGCCACTCGGACTCGAATTCGAAACAAAGGAGACGACAGATGCCAGTGATCCTCATGGTTTCCGAGTTTCGAATCTCCAATTGCCCGTGCATCCAATGCGGCCTATGGAGCGGATTGAAAAGACAAAGGAGCGCCCCAAAGAAGCTCCGAGAGTGCCATTGTGAGGGTCTGGCAGATGTATCTGGACACAAACATGGCGTCGAATCAGTGAGTAGAATGGGCACTCACATACGGCACTGAACGATCTGATCTATCCAGAGGTGTAAGTGCTCAGGTGGTTTTGTTTTCTTTGTTCCTCCAAGATCTATTGTGGACTTGAGCTTCGAATCGCACTCTTCGGATGTCCATATCAACCAGGCAGCCCAGTAGTCTGATGAAGATACTTAGGAGAGATACTGCGACTACTCGAGACTACCGATATTATTCTGGGAACTCTTTCTAATCATTTTCGTTTGCGGAAAGTCTGAAGACGATCTCGAGAAGCCTTTCTCTACCCATCAGCTCTTTAAAAGAGTCAATACCCTTCCCAAGACAACAGTTGATCAATGACCCAGTTCTTAACGAGGGAACTTTCGATATCATAATGAATGACGAGTGCCAGGAGACCACTGATTATGAATACTCGAACTACCATGTCAAGTGGCTCGGGAAAAACTACAAGCTAGGCGATCCAACACATGCAACGGTCCTGGATGCGGATCTCGAAGGCTTTGCTAGGCAGGAGCATCTTCTTGCGAAGGCAGCGATACACAGCCAATCTATGACTAGTGCCCGCGCCCTTTGTGCATTTCATGGTTATGGAAGAGACTCTGTGTGGCCACCAGTTGACCCTGGAAGGCCCACCAAAGACCTTTTGGAAGAATTGAGGCGTGTTAACCAATTTGTTCAGTCGGAATGGTCGAGATTGAATGAACTCGTGGTCCGCAAAGAGCGAGAGATCCAGGAGATCATTATAAATCTCACTGATGGAAAAGTTAGAGACCAAAATGGAAAGATTCTATGCATTCAAGACTGCCTGGAGCAAAGCTGGGAAGAGACCAGAAATGTTTTCAATGCCGAGTATACCAAAATCCGTTCAGAGTCAAGACCTGTTCACATGGGGAGTGATTTCAGCCTGGATCCCGAAGGCCATATCAACCCCAACCATTCAAGCGATCTCGACGAGTTTGCCCATGAATATCTCTGTAACATCAGAGTCAACTTCCACTGGACAAACAACGGTGAACCGACGAGGATCGAGGAAAAGAGACAGTACCCACTCTATCGCAGTAAGGCCAACTATCGTGACAACAGGCAGGCTATGGAAGACGCTATCATGGACGATGTCAAGTTCCGAAATTTGAGGAAACCAAGTCCAGAACTTGCAGAAGACGACTCTGAACCAGTCGGGTATAACTTCGAAGTTGAAGATGCACTGCGAAAGCAAAGAGCTCGTTTCTTGGTCTCGCACATCAACAAGGAGGATCTTTCTATCCCACTCAATATGCTCATGTTCATCCACTATCGGGCACGACTTCACCCCATGGACTTTGCTTTCCAAGATAACAATCGTATGCACCTAGGAAAGCAGTCACATATTTTGTCAGGCGCTTGCGATCCTTCGTCTTATGTCATCTTTGTCCCGGTAAAAGACCATGAGCACCAAAATCCACACCAAAGAGCTTGGTGCGAACCTATGATCTTTTCCAAGCACTCGCCCGAGATAGATGAAGACAGGTTTGAGGACTTACAATCCGCCGGGCGGATGTTCGGCAGCATGGAAGCATGGCTTATACTGCAGTCCCAAGCTATTACATACCTCTTCTTGGCTACTTTCTGCAGACAGATGCTAGAGCTGGCAAAGCATGAGCTGAATACGGGTCACACTGACCGACTTAGCAAAAAGGAAATCTTGGAAATTAAGGTTCCAGCAGTACAAAAGATCAACATGCTGAAAGGAAAGAAAGGAATCGAAACAATGCAAGACATCGCATCGATTCGACAGTATGAACCAAACAGCACTGGGTTCAACCTACAAAGGTATCGCACTAAGCTCAAGGACAAAAGTACGGCGGCTGAAGAACACGTCAAGAATCTTTTTGACGACCCTGCCTACCTGACCAAATACATCGCGGAACAAAAGGATCATCATTGGACTAATATTGTCGAAGACTCAACGTATCTGCCCAATGAGTACTTTCAGAGATACCATGAGGAAAAATTGCGCCACGTATTATATCGAAGTTGCATGAGAAGTGTATTGAGAAGAGCCTTTTTTGAGTTCTTCATATGGGAAGCCATTACAAATGCCTTGGAAGATTTCGAGACCTTCGAACAGGAGACACTTACAGAACCACCCGAGATGGAAGAATTCGAATACTTCAGAAGGACAGTTGCACCTAGACCTCATGTTTCTCAAGAGCATGGTTCCTATACAACAAAATACCTTCAAATTCGGGAGTTGATCCTGCACGCCGCTGCTTTCTTCATCTTCGCTTTCCGTAAAGAAGCAATCCATGCCGCTTCTGAGTCCATGCGCTCTACCTACCTTACCACCAAAAGGCCGGATTACATACCGGATTGGTTGATCAGAGAATACTATGACAGCGAAGACATTATGCTTGGCTTTCAAGAAAAGGCTTTGCACAGTGAACGAGGAGGGAAACATCGCATCGTGGCTGAGCTTATTGAGAACTTCATCTCGAATAAGCATTCCTCCATGTATGTCGGCATTCGGAAGACTACGGATAAGGTAAAGAGGCATATTGAAGCCCACAACCGCGAGGCTGAGCCAGAAGACAAGTTCTCAAATCTGGTCAGCCAAACAATCGACGGTTTGGATTTGCTCGCCGATGTGGCAGAGCATCTGGAGCTTATACCTGGCATGTTCCGCAAATCTAACGAATGGACTAAAGAGTCCGAGGAAGACGACCGCGAGAGGGTATCTAGGATGCTCCAGGAGTTTTCATCATATGACCTTCTCGCGCTCGACAATTGTGATTTCCGAGACAAACACGTCCCTGCTAAACGGACACATCGAATATTCCGCTTTCTCGACGAACTCCAAGGATTTGACATCAAAGAAAAGGAGATGAGCTATGGCAAGGCGAAGGGTGACATCAAGCGCTTTGGTGCATCTCTTCTTCGGGGGCTCATATATCCATTGAATGAAAAGGGGAACGACCTTGTATATCGGCACAAAACATGGGGCATAAGGATCAAACCAGGTTATGGCAGAGGGAAAGTATTCCCAGCGAATGGATGGGCACTCGAGCGTCTGACGAAATGCATGGGAATCACCAGGGAGCAGTTCATCTTTGCCGATACCGAACCCCCTCTCGATCTCGATGCCCAAGGATCCAGCCGCATACAGAAGACCTCTGGAGAGGACAGAAAAGTCACATCGGAAGTATGGCTAGCCCTCAAGGAGGCTATGACGAAACATCGGCAAGAGCAAAAGAAGAAGCTGGGATATCACAAGAAGCGCAATAGAGACAAGATAAGGGCACTGAAGCCGTCCGAAACATACAGGGTCAGCAAGGACAATAAGGGAAAGGCACCTGTACGAACAACGGAGAAGCAAGTGGCAGAGGACGTAGAGGCAGGCGGCGATGTAGAAATGGAGGACGTGGGCTTTGAAGTTTCACCCACGATCGAACAAACTCAGCTACCCAATGCACCCCAGGATATATTCAATGCTCGGCCGACTCGTGTGCGTCCTCAGAGCAACTATAGGCCTCCAAAGCCAGAGCAGGCACGCCGTACCGAGCCTGTTCTGGACCCTGCGCTGGCACCGGACAGACTCCCCAAGAGAGAAATCAACAAGCATGCATGGGAGACACTGAGGTCACTCACGTTGCGGAAAATAACATACACCAACGCTCAGGGCAAAAAGGTTACAGAAGAACTCCCAGCAGTGAGTTCGAACGATGTTGATACAACATTTCGAGTCGAGCTCGGGTTTCGTCTGGAATTTGGGAAGGGTCGGCACCGCAAGTTCATTTGGACTGAGAATTGTATATTGCCACAATGGAGTGTGTTGAAGAATTTCAACTTCAACCCTGACAAACATGCGGCAAAAAGCTCGGTCTTAACACAGGAGACAATGAAGAATTGGAGCTTATGTTTGGAGGATGCTGGAATTACCTGGCCCTTTGTAAAGCAGTGGCTTATACAGAAGAAGGAGAAGGAAAAGAAAGAGGCGGAAAAGAAC